CATCAACGACCCACTGGTTTGCTACAACCACTCCCAATACCGGAATAGAAATGAGAGCACATTACCATGGACTTCATTGTGGGATTGCCTCATTCTTCTCGAGGTATGGACTCTATCTGGGTTATAGTTGACCGTTTAACTAAGTCTGCCCATTTTTTGCCTGTCAAAACTATTTATAACGCTGATAAATTGGCCAATATCTATATGACTAAAATTGTGAGATTGCATGGAGTGCCAGTATCTATTGTGTCTGACAGGGACTGAAAGTTTGTATCGAGATTTTGACAGAGTTTGCAACAGGCTTTGGGGACTGAATTGAGACTAGCAGTGCCTATCACCCACAGACAGATGGCCAAACTAAACGAACGAACCAAACTCTGGAAGATATGCTCAGAATGTGTGTGTTAGACTTCCAAGGGAATTGAGAGACCTACTTGCCACTAGTTGAATTTGTGTACAACAACAGTTAACATTCAAGTATCAGAATGGCTCCTTACGAAGCTTTGTATAGAAGAAAATGTCGTTCTCCGGTATGTTGGGCTGAAGTAGGTGATAGACCTTTGTTGGGACCAGAACTTATGCAGGAAACAACCGAGAAAGTGAAACTGATACAGCAGCGTCTGAAAACTGCACAAAGTCGGTAGAAGAGCTATGCCGATGTTCGAAGAAGAGAGAGGGAATATGAAGTTGGGGACCACGTGTTTATAAAGGTGACCCTGATGAAGGGTCAAACTCGGTTTGGTGTTAAAGGAAAATTGGCGCCAAGATATGTTGGACCTTATGAAGTCCTCGAAAAAATCAATCCGGTATCGTATCAGGTAGCCTTACCTCCAGTAATGGAACACATGCATAACGTCTTCCATGTATCGATGCTACAAGAATATTTGAGGGATCCACTCTACGTTATCGAAATTGTGAATCACCGGATCAAAAAGTTGAGAAATAAAGAAATAACGTTGGTAAAAGTTGATTGGCAAAACCACAGAGGAACCTATGCAACTTGGAAAACCGAGGAAGACATAATGAAGAGATATCCGAATTTGTTCCCATTGGATCTAATGTTGATTTCGAATGAAGGTAATTCGAGTTTGAAGGACCAAACTCTTTTAAGGGGAGAAGACTATAATAACCCCGACCTCCGATTAATGCAAAACCATGATTATTTATGCCTAGCAGTAATTTAGGAGGAATACAGAATTAAATTGCATATGTATTGTATTATCTTTATGTTTTTATTTGTTTGCCATAAAATGATCTGTTTACGTTTTAATTTCGGTTTGCGAATTGGAAGCCTTATCGGCGCCCGAGTCAGAAATTGATTAGTGTTTTAGACTAGTTAGAATATATGTGATTTTATGGTATGTTTAATTAGAATTTGATTTGGTATGATTAAATTAGAATAAATAGTGTTAAATTACATTAGATGGCTTAATTACCAAAATGCCATTAGGTGGACTTTGCTAGACCCATTGTTTAGTCTTGATTTACACTTGTTGGCATCATTTTCATCCATCCTCCTAGACTAAACCATGAGAAAGAGGGAGAGTGAGAGAAACTTGGTTTCATCAAGAATTTGGCTTGGAAATTTGAGGATTTGTAAAAGAACTACACAATTGAGCTAGCACACCTTGAACTCAAGACTTAAGGTAGGGAATTCATCCTTTCAATTAGGAAATTGAGTTGTTCTTGCTAGGGCCATGGTGAAATTGGTATTTAAAGTCAAGACTTAGCTCAAAGTGTTGTTTTGAGAGTCAATTCATGCATGCATGCACATATTCTTGGATTTTGGAGTTGTTCTTCATGAATTTCCACATGCATGTCCACATTTTTGTTATAGTCCATGAATTCATCCTATTCTTGAGCTTAATCTTGCTTTGGATCATGTTTTGGAGCATTAGAAGTCATGAGAATTCATGCATGTTACATTTAAGTTATGTTCTTGAAGTTTTATTTGAAATCGTGTTTAATTGACTCACCTTTGGGTTTTGATTTTACAAATTGATCTTTGAAACATCTTATACTATGAGTTTACAAGTGTTTTTCAGAAAATGGGCTCGAAGGGTTGAGATTTGAGGTGCTGAATGCTTGGTTTGAGCTTGGGAGGCAAATCTGGAAATTCCAGAATTTGGCTTCCTTGCTCAAGCGAAGGATTCCACGCTCGAGCGACCATCGTTTGTTCCGAGCTCCGCTCGAGCGAAGGATTGATGGCTCGAGCGTAAATTGTAAGCTCTCAGGTTTTTGGTGCACGCAGACGCACGCTCGAGCGACGAGACCTACGCTCGAGCGAAGAGTTGTGTCTCACACTCGAGCGAGCATCGAGCGGGCATCGAGCGTAAAATTTCAACAACCAGTACCTTTGTATTTTTACAGACCGCTTGAGCGAAGGAGTCTGCACTCGAGCGACCCCTCTGTTTTGACATGCTAGCTCAAGCGAAGGAAGCTACACTCGAGCGAGACCCCTGTTTTCAGCAAGTTTTGAAAAATGTTTTCCAAGACATCTTTGCATCCTCATTCCATCCTAGGCATTCCTATGCCATATTTAAGACTCTATAGTGAGGATTTAAGGTTAAAAACACATTAAGAGCCAGCGACGTAAGTTTTGTGCAATTAGAATGTGTGTTTCAAGTGTGTGTCCGTTATGTGTTATGTAGGTCACGTGCCGTATATCGTGTGATCAATCTGTTCCGTCTGTCTGTTTCAAGGCAAACTGTGAGTAGTAATTTAGTAAAGTTATGTTCAAACTGTATCTACTTTCTATGTGATAAAACAAGATCTGTTTTCCGAAATGATATGTTCTGTACAATGAATGATTGATCAATTTCTGATATGTATTCGTGACATCCTTAGCATCATGTGATATCTGTTAGCTGTTACCCGGTATCGGAGGTTTCTTTATGGAACTTATTTCTGTTTGCACTCTGTTACCCGTACCGGAGGCGCTATCACGGGGGCTCAGCTTCTGTTCTGTTCTGTTGCCCGGATCCGGAGGTTCCTTTATGGAACTGGTTATTCATAACCTTATGTGTATACGTTTTGTTCTGTTAATGCTAATGGATGTATCACGTAAACTTAATCATGACTTATGATTTCTGTCTGTATATGATCAGGACAAATGATGAATTTGATACAAATTTGAATTATGATTTCTGAATTTGTAGGAACCCATTCATTGAAACCCTTTACTCTATTATTATTCACTGGACTTTCGCTCACAATTTATATTATGTATCTAGGTGAGCCGACACATAACCAGGGCCAGAGTTGGCAGCCTTCTGTTTTGTTTTTGTCAAGCAAACTGTTGTGCCTCCCGAGGAGGTTCCGAGTGAAGCCTAAAGCCATGGCTGTTTTTGTATTCATGCTAGTCTTTGTGTATGCTCTGTAAAGTCAGGTCTTGGGAAGTACATTCTGTATTTACCTTGTAAATATTGTATATCTGGATTGGCATGTTTATGTATATATAAATAAGTTTTGAAATGTTCTGTCCCATGTACGTTATCACAACTCATTGGACTTTGTCTATTTTGTATTATTGCTTCTGCCGCCCCTTATTAATTGCTAATATGTTCAAAGGCCTTTGGTAATCCATGGATTACTGGCCGGTTACGGTGCTAAACCTACAGGGGCGAGTTTGGGTCGTGACAGTTTCTGTCATTTTGGGATCTCAATATGAGAGAACTTGAGGGATCTTTGGAGCTCACCATATGACTCATTTCGATGTTCCAAATGGTTCACTTTTTAGGACTTGTTGAGTAAAATATTCATGTAGAAAACCAAGATGGTAATTGTATGTTTGAATGAAAATTTATATTACAAAAAATGAATGATTGTTCTTGAAATTATATTTGTTGTCCATTTTCTTAAAACAAATATGATTCAAATATATAGTTATTGATATCCAATCATATTGATTTTTTGTATGAATATTTTACTCAATGAGTCTAAAAAAATGAACGGTTTAAATCATCAGAATTGATTTCAAAATAGGCTTACCAAATCCAAATGTTCTCTCAAATTGATAGAAGCAAACCCTGTCTCTAATAGTCAAAATTATCATTTTACCTTAAGGAAATTCTATTTCCACACACCACATTGTCTCTGTCCATACACTTAATGAATTTTATTTTTATTACAAATATACCTTTAAATAAAATGACCAAAATAGACATCCATCCACATACTTAAAATGACCAAAATTTACCTTTATCTTTATTACCAAATTACCTTTATGTATATTTACCAAAACATACCAAGTGTCAAAATTACTATTTTGCCCTCAAAGTTCAAAAGTAGCCATTTTACTTCTAATTGGTCAAAATTACCATTTTGTCCCAACATCACAAATATGATTTATTAAACTAATAACATAGTATAAAGTATAAATACATATTAAAAAGAATGTCAAAAATTACAAATTCAATATAATTATGCCTAAAATATAAGACTTGTATTTTTTTCAAATTTCAAGAAAGGTCAAGGTAATTTACCCTTAATAGTATATTAACAATTAAAGTTGGTTTACCAGACTTGAGAATTCATATCACCTAAATCTCAAATTGAAACAGAAAATTATTCACGAGTATCGTTTAAATTGTTCATGCAATTAATGTAATTAAAAAATAAAAGATCTTTTTAAAAACAATTAAATCTTTACAACCGCGTGGCTCAAATGGCCCTATTATTAATTTTCTTTAAACCGTCTTTGTCACACGTTTCAAACTATAATGAGTAATTAATTATAAATTAATATATATATATATATATATGGAGTAATTAGGTGGCAGTGGGTCCCGCCATTAATGATGTGATGTTTTGGTCTTGGAGTTGTATTTTATTTTATTTTTTTTTACTTTTTTAATGCATTAGTGCTATTAGTGGTGATATTTTTAGTGAGATGAATCATTGTTGTAAATTTTATCAAGAATTTATAATAATTTTTTTTGATAGAATCACTAGTTGATACTTTCCCTGTGATATGTGATTGGTCATCTTGATCCGAGGAGTGTGGTACTAGCCATAGACGATCAAGATCTACTTTATAACAATCTATATCATCACCGACTCGGAGCAACAGCCCATGTTGCTCTCAATCTCAGCATCACCGATTCACAGAATCACATGAAAAATTGACTCGGTGGAAACGCCACAATTTCTAGAAACAATCGAAGCTCTCAGCCCCCTGTGCATATCTAGAGAGAGAAAGAGAGAGAGAGAGAAACGGAAGAGCTTTTTGTCCTTTTTTAATGGAAGATTTCAGATCTAAGTCATACGCTGATGGAAGAAGAAATCAAATGGAGAGTTACAGCTACGATGGAAACAGACCAGGCCCAACTGGTTTCCAAGATCTCAGATGTTACAGTGCTTCATATGCATCATCTTCTCAAGCACAATCACAATCACAACCAACTCAGACCCAGATAGAGGAAGTGCCTACAGAAGTCAAATTCAAGAAAGTCAAGTCCACAAATGGATCAACATCATCTAAGAGTTGGAGCTTAAATGACCCTGAATTGCAGAGGAAGAAAAGGGTTGCAAGCTATAAGGCCTATTCTGTTGAAGGCAAGGTCAAAGGCTCTTTTAGGAAGAGCTTTAGGTGGCTCAAGGACAGGTACAATCTCATGGTCCATGGTTGGAGGTGAGGTATCACATTCAATCACAAAAACCCCCCTTTGGTATATCACCATCACTATCACAATCACTATCATTTTGCTATCCATTTTTTCCCCCTATTTTACTCCTGTTGTTTTCTACTGATTTGGGTTGCTTGTAGCTTATTATGTACTGTCTAATAATCTTAAATTTACCAGTATCATGAATTGATCATGTAGATTGTTGACTATTGATGATGAACCCTTTTTTTCTTTTTTGCTTTAAATTTTCTATAAGAAGTTTATTGATTCTGGATCGGTTTTACTTGTCAATTTTGAGTTAGTTTTGCCTTTGTTTTCAGTTATTGATGTTGATATGATTAGGATGTGAGCTATTTGAATGTGCATTGATGTAACTGTCTTGTTAAATATATAGGTTTTCCTTGATTTGTGGTAATTGGTTTGAAGTATCAGTTCTGTAGAGAATTTAGAATACTTAAGCCTTGTTTGTGGCTGGCTTTTTTTAAAAAAATGGGGGAAAAAAAAAAAGAAGAAAATTTTTTAATGATATGGAGGTATTTGTGCCTGTCAATTCATTCACAGATATAGGTCATACATAGATCCCAAGTTTTATACCCCCTTGATAAGGTTCTTTCTTGTCCAAAGTTTATTGCTCTCGTTGAAGATAGTTTTTGGGTTGGAAGGAGCTTTGCCAAATTTTGGCAGAAAATGAGTTTGGTTGTGTACTGTGAACCATAGACATGGGACATGGCGATTTTAAAAAAATGGGGGAAAAAAAAGAAGAAGAAAATTTTTTAATGATATGGAGGTATTCGTGCCTGTCAATTCATTCACAGATATGGGTCATACATAGATCCCAAGTTTTATCTCCCCTTGATAAGGTTCTTTCTTGTCCAAAGTTTAGTGCTCTCGTTGAAGATAGTTTTTGGGTTGGAAGGAGCTTTGCCAAAATTTGGCAGAAAATGAGTTTGGTTGTGTACTGTGAACCATAGACATGGGACATGGCGATTTTAAAAAAATGGGGACACGGAAAGAAGAAGAAAATTTTTTAATGATATGGAGGTATTCGTGCCTGTCAATTCATTCACAGATATGGGTCATACATAGATCCCAAGTTTTATCTCCCCTTGATAAGGTTCTTTCTTGTCCAAAGTTTAGTGCTCTCGTTGAAGATAGTTTTTGGGTTGGAAGGAGCTTTGCCAAAATTTGGCAGAAAATGAGTTTGGTTGTGTACTGTGAACCATAGACATGGGACATGGCGATTTTAAAAAAATGGGGGAAAAAAAAGAAGAAGAAAATTTTTTAATGATATGGAGGTATTCGTGCCTGTCAATTCATTCATCTATATTATTATAAAGTGAACACCTCTTATGGTGTCTTGAAGCTTTACTCTCCTCATGCCATGTGGCAGTGTTTTTTATTTTTTTAAAAAAAGTTAAACAAAGAGATGGCCAAGGTTTGAACCCATGACCATGGGTTTAAGTATGAGGACTCATACCACTTAAGCTAAGGTCAAGTTTGGGGACTTCAAAAAAAGCTAAAAAGTCAAAAAGTTACTCAAAAAGTTAAAAAGTTAACACTATTCATTAAAAGTCAACAATATTTTCTTTTATTCCTATTTATTTAAATTGCACACGCATCGCGTGTGCGCGGCCGCTATGTATTTAAAGCATACAGAAATAGAGTATAATTAGAAAAAAAAAATGAAATAAAGAATGGATCGTGGTGAAAGAAAACCAGAGAGAGAGAGAGAGGCGAGAGGCAAGTCAGAGACTGAGAGACTTACCACACGGAGATCAACTGCAGATGGAGGTCGATGGAGATGGCATAGGTTCGATTCTCTTCACTCGATGGAGAGCGACGATTGACGTCGCTAGTCGATGAACAACAGATTCGATTCTCTTCTTTTTTTTTCCTGGTGTTAGATTTAGGTCTCTTCTCTCTTGATTCTCTTCGAAAAATACGTGTAATCATATTACCTGATGCGGAAACGGTTTGGATCAGATGTTTGAATTACAAGCCTCGTCTGGAAAACTTATGTCAATTGAGAAGCTACTAGAGTTTCTCAATATTTTACCTACACTCCAAATTCTTAGGCTTTCAAAATGGTAACCTCAAGATAGATAAATAGAGAGAGAACTTAGCTTATTTTGTGTTTTTTTTTTTTCCCACAATGTTGAGTATGCACTTATGTAGGTGTTTTTGGCAAGGCCATGTGTACCTCATGGTTTGCAAGACCATGTGTCTCTCATGGTTAGATTATGTGTGGATGTACCATGTGTACCATATGTCTTTCATGGTTGAGCCACACCATGTGTACCACATGGTTTTCAACATTTCCCACTTATCCACACATCCACCTCATGTTTTATATGCATTATCATCATTTTTCAATCTCTCATTCAATTCACTCTTCATACGAAAAAATGGAGCATGTGACCTGACGAGAAGGTATAAGATAGGAGTGCTATATTAAGCTACCATAAACTAACATAGTACATCACGAGAAATATCCTGTCTGCACCCCAGATTCATTGGATCACACTAGATCAAACATTTTAAAACCCTAACGAGTCATAGCTCATAAACATGCTTGACTTCAACACTGTATCTGTACTCATAATTATATCGTGATCTCAAATCCAACACAATCGCCCGAGCAATGAATTACAATACAAGGGTGTGATTTTCAACAATCTTCCCTAGCCACTCATGTCAATTCACTCAAACTTGATTGTTTTCTTAGACATGGTCCTCTGGATCGTATTCATCATGACCCTTAAATGACATGCTAAAGTAATGACATCAAGTCATCACTTCATGATATAGTTTCAGGTTCAAGGGTATAGAGTAGGCCTATTATTGGCCTAATAGGACTTACACAGTCCTAGAGCAAGGATCCATCTAGCCACTCCCTTAAGTGGTCGACGGTAGCACATACAGTATGATATGTATGCTACAGCGGAACTCTCACTAAATTGGGTCTATCATTTTCTAACGCCATACGAATCTTAGTCTAGTTGCTATACAAGCGCCTAGCCTGAGTTTCTTAGCATATTCGCTCATCAAGCGCTTGTCTAAGACCTCACATCCGGCTATATTTAGGGTTCATAAAGTTGTGGATAACTTCACGTTCGACTTTTTAAAAGTCTCATCATAGCCAATGCTAAGGCGACATCTTATAATAATAAATCAGTTTTGCTCACTTCTCAAGTTACAAAACATTTACCTCGCTCGCTCTCTAAGTGCCAAGATAATTAATGTCTCATCCTGCTCGCTCTACAAGCGCTAGGGTGATTGCCAGTGTCAGAAGGCCGATCTAAGCCTAGTGACATCATATATAATGTGTGCTAATTGTATCAATTACGCCATAAAACCACATGAATAAATAATTATGCATAAGATACTCATAAAAATATCCAACAAAGTCAATGAGGTATCTACAAAAACATCAAATCCTACGAAGTCCTAAACTCCTAACATGAGTTTGGAAAACATCTCTAGCAGTGGCTTTAGTAAGTGGATCAGCCACCATCCTGCTAGTGGAGATATGCTGTAGGATTATCTCTCCTCGTGCAACCACATCTCGAATAAAGTGAAATCGAATGTTGATGTGTTCGGTTCTACCATGATACTTGGGATCCTTAGAATATGCCGAAGCTTCCATACTGTCAACATAGATCATAACGACTTCATCTGCAAGAATCATGATCCCAAGGCGCTGTAGGAATCTCCTCAACCAAACAGCCTTTTGTATTGCTGTTGAACAAGCAACGCACTTTGACTCCATCGTGGACAAAGCAATGCATGATTGCTTCTTACTACAACAAGAAATAGCCGCTCCACTAAGTAGGAATGAATAACCAATGGTAGACTTGCGCTCATCTTTATCAGCAGCCCAGTCTGCGTCACTGTATCCCTTTAGTCTCAAATCTCCACCCTAATATAGCAAAGAATGAGATCCATCGTCTGACGAAGATAGCGAAAAATCGTCTTCACTGCTTGCTAGTGAACAAGTCCTGGGTTACTCTGGTAATGATTGACCATTCCCACTGCAAAACATATGTCCAGTCAAGTACACATCATAGTATACATCAGACTACCAGCTACACTCACATAGGGAACCTTTGCTATTTGTTTCATTTCCTCATCTGTCTTAGGGCACGCGTCAATGCTCATAGTACGTCCCTTCTCAATTGGAGTGTCAATGGGTTTGGAATATGAAACCGTTCCAAGATCCTCTTAATGTAAGTCTTGAGACAAACCAAGAAGCCTCTTAGAGCGATGTCCCAGGTTCTTAACTCTAAGCACATAATTTGCTTCTTCCATGTCCTTCATTTCAAAAGTAGAGAACAACCATTCCTGAGTGGCGACAATCATCTCCATGTTATTTCCAGCTAACAAAATGTCGTCAACATACAACGATAGGATAAGGAAACTCTTTCTTGATTGTTTGACATACACACAATGGGCTTCTTCCATCATCTCAAATCCAGTCGAAACGATGACTTTATGGAATCTAAAGTACCGTTGTCTAGACGATTGCTTTAAGCCATAAATGGAACGTTTGAGGCGACATACTTTGCACTCTTGTCCATTGACCTCAAAGCCTATTGGTTGATCCATATAGATCTCCTCATCTAGTTCTCTATTAAGAAATGCAGCCTTAACATCCATTTGGCAAAGTTCCAAATCCAAATGCGCAACAATAGCTAGAATTAGGCGAATAGAGGCAAATCTCACCACCAGGGAGAATGTCTCATCATAATCTATACCCTCTCTTGAGTATAGCCCTTCGCCACGAGATGGGCTTTGTACTTATTGATTGATGTGCTATGTTAGTTTGTGGTGGCTTAATATAGCACTCCTACCTTATATCTTTTGGTCAGGTCACACACTCCATTTCTCCGTATGAGGAATGGATTGAATGAGAGATTGATAAATGATGACTGTGCGTATATAACACATGATGTGGATGTGTGGATGAGTGTGAGATGTTGGAATGTGGTACACATGGTGTGGCTTAACCATGAAGGACACATTGTACACATGGTGCATCTACACATGGCCTAACCATGAGGGACACATGGTCTTGGAAACCATGTGGTACACATGGCCTTGCCAAAGATGCCTATATAAGTGCATACTCAACATTGTGGATTAAAAAAAAAAAGCAGAAAAAAAAAAAAAAAAAAAAAAAAAAAAAAACACAATAAAAAAAAACTAAGTTCTATCTCTCTATTTATTTATCTTGAGGTTACCATTTTGAAAGCATAGGAATTTGGAGTAGGTAAAATATTGAGAAACTCTGG